TTTAAATTGCCAATATAGAAATTTAATCATCTATATAGAGTTCCTATTCTTCAATATTGAAGTATCAGTTAGAAGCTACACAAAAAATGATGCACAGAGATCTTGGAAAACAAATCTTCCTTAAAAAGGAGGCACAACTTTGCTGAAGTCCAAAGAAATAATCAAACCATTTGTAACAACTCATGCATTAATTTCGAAACAGCAAACCCATAATTACTGTATATTTAGACTCAAACTCAGCTTTGGGAAAAGGCCATGCTTTCTAAAACATTACCTGAAATTTTCAGCTTAATTTAGTCAACAAATAAATACCGATTAAATAAAATTCAATAAGTGGTAGAATTTGTTTTTGTTTTATTTATAAGTGGTCTTTATCTCACTGTGACAGTAGATACTTACTATGTTAGTATGTGTAATAGGGTTCTTACCCTTTAGTAAGATTGACAGCATTGTTTAAAGTAAGCAAAATAACTAAAATAATCTTATTTGTTAATATTAATTATACTTTAGAATATTTAAGCATGATTTATCCTGCCACTTTAAAGAACATTTATTTTCTGCTTGCAATGTAGTTTTTCTGCTTATGTGTGCAACTTTAACAGTTATAATTATCATCAAACCACAATAGATGGTCATATTCAAGAACCACACAGTTTCAGTGAGTGTGGGGCTCAGGGGCAAAGAGGTCACTAAGTCAATAAGATGGTGATTAACTGTTCAGTTCACAGGTGGGCAAGATGGTGGCCAAGAAGAGAGCCCTACGTGTGAACCAGGGCAGGAGTCACATAGCTCCAAGGAAATACTGATAAACCAGGGACATCTCGCTAACATACCCCTGGTCTATGGGAGGTGGCTTCTGCAGACAGTCTCCTAGTAATTGGCTCCTAGCTTCTCCCCTCCTGGAATTCCCCAAATTCCCAGCCTGAGGCTATCCCTTACACTATGTAAGAAATTGAATTTCCCCAATAAATGGGAACTACTTAGACAGAACCCCTATCTGTCTGTTTATTTCTCGCAGGCTGGGAGGCTGGGTGGCAGGCAGCAGGTTCTTCCCCACCGGCAATGAGGTACTAAAGGAATCTGTGGGGGAGACCCTGCAAATGAGGCTCATGAGAATTTTCATTAAATATAGGGATACCACATTGGTTAAATTTGAGTTAAAATTATTTTTGTCCATATTCTTAAAATAGACATGTAGAGAATTACTGATCAAAGGTATGTCTTTAATGTACTTTTTTTGATACTCCAAAGCTAATATACAGCAATATAGCTGTTCACCTCTAAATAATGTTATGATTCTTTTATTGTTTCAGGACAGAATATACATACATAAAGACAGGACACAAAAGCAGTTTACAAGCTTAAAGAAAATACCATGTTGTCCAAAAAAAAAAAAAAATTAAAAGAATAACACAGAAGGATATGTCTGAATATCACATATTATCAATATATAACATGCTGCTCTTAATGGCATATTACAGGAAGCATTCATTTTACAACCAACATGCTGGGGGATTTTATTCATAACAGCAGTAGTATTTAAGGCTCCTTTTTACTATTTATTTATTTATCTGTTTTTAATGAATATTGCAAGATAAATTGCCAACACTCCACATGGCATGCGGTGCTGAAGTACATACCCTCTCTTCCTGTAGCAAAGTCACCTATGGTTTCTGAATTAGTTCACTATAAACCATGGGTTTAGGGTCTTCAAATTTTAGGGTTTTGACCTAATTGGTAAAAAGACTCTCTTAATATGATGTTGTTTTTAAATTGGAAAATGAATTATGTAAAAAATGTTAACAAAGCCCGATACAGAAAAGTTACATCTCAGAAGCATAAATATCAGTTTGTGAAACATAAAAGAAAAACAATATATATCTACCACATGATATCTTCTCTATACTTGGGAGACTTTAAATGTATTAGGAGATACCAGAGGTAAGGAACTAGGTAAGAATTGATTACATGTTGAACAGGTGTAATTAAATTCAACACAAAACAAAAATGCCTTAAAAATGGTTTGAAAATTTTAAAAACAAAATGATTCTGAAAGTAATCAAAACTTTTTATAAACTATTAACATAAAAACTTGTTTAACTTTATGGTATCAAATTCTAGCTTCATTGGAGTGTGCCTTTTTTATTTATGATCAATTATTAGATATTAAGAATGCTCTTTTTCTAACTTGAATAAATTTAATTCCATGTAATATTCATCTTCCATAAACCTTAAAAAGCACTCTAATATTCCTTCAGCTGTTTGTTCTATACTTAACCTATTTTATTTGCCCTATAGTGTACCTCCTTTATCAAATTACTACAAATTACAATTCAGATAGAACACATCTCTCATTCCACAGTCTTCAATATTCATGACATTCCCATGCATGTGGTTTCAATTACATTTCTCTCTCCACTATTTTTGGATTTTTCATTTTACATTTCAAAAAAATTAGGACTGTCAATGATGGTCTTGCACGCTAATCCTCCAGTGCTGTGCCAGCATTTTATGACAACTGGAATACAAGCTGCTACATTTTATGTTTAACTCCCTACTTATAACCTGGGGAAAAATGCAGATGGCTGCAATTTTTAGGCTTCTACACAACATGGGAAAACAGGTATGGCCACAGCAGCCATTTGGAGAGTGAACTGATGAAAGGAATGATCTTTCTGCCCCTACTGTCAATCAATCTTTCAAATAAAAACTTTAAAATAAGCCAATATATCTAAATCAAGAAGCAAACATTTAAAAGAGTCAGAGTTTTATCTGAAATTATTTTAAACAATTTTTGAAGTTTGGATGAATTAAGTGAGAAAATAAAAAAGAAAATATTTTACCCATATGGGATCACAGTATGAAATTATTTTCATGATGAAATAAAATACTTGGATCCCATATGGGTGCCAGTTTGTATCCCTGCTGCTCTTCAATACCAACTTCCTACTTGTGGCCTGGGAAAACAGTCAAGATGGCTCAGGACCTTGGGACCCTGCTCCTGGCTTTGGATCGGCTCCTGCCTCCTGGCTTTGGATCAGCTCAGCCATAGCCAGCTGTAGTGGCTACTTGGGGAGTGAAGCTGCAAATGGAAGATCTGTCTCTATGTATATCTCACTTTCCAGTAAAAGAAAGTAAAATTAATTTTGCGTTACATAATACCTTCTTAAATGTTGTTACCCTCAAGTACAGAACAAACAGTTTTAAGACACAGATACACAACAGTTTGAAAAATTATTAGAAAACAATAGCAACTGCACATAAGAAAAGACACAATAGGGAGATTTAGAGTAAGCTCCTATTGCTCATATACAGGAGGCGGAAAGATACAGAAAGTGGTTCCAATACTCTTGAAACTTTCTCCAACCCATGGTTACTGAAGCAGGATCTATAACCTGAATACATAAATACTATTTTATCTCAACCCACACAAAACCCTTCATTTCCCATATTCTACCTTCCTGGGAGGCAATGAGAAGAATCAAAGCACATTAGAATGCTGTCAGAGGGACTGGGAATGTTTGTGAAGGAAAACTGGAAAACATTAAATAAATCTCACTGCAAAGAAGTCTCTCTGCAGTGTGTTCTCAAGGTGGACCTTGGCAAGGATCTCTTCACCACAAATATCAGAGAGATCACAGCTAGGGGTTCACATGAGAATGCTGGTGGAAATCAGTTAGACATGCACATACTTCATTCTGCAGTTTAAGGCATGGATTATATGATGCATGACACATTCTTCAGAAAAAAAGATGCCTCTCTTGTACTTCATGCTCAACATTTTGGAGCTCGAAAGGCTCATGCCTCAAAATAGTAAACAATAGAACTAATCAAGGTTGTCACAGATGGAAACCATGTCAATGTGCTTAATACTAAAGATTTGACTTGCCTCAACTTCAGTCGTGATGCCCTCAATTAAAATAACATTTTTAACTTACTTCAACATGGAATTGCAATAAAGAGCCAGAGGCAGAGAGGCATCTTCATTCCACTGATTCAAATCTCAAATGAATGCAACGGCAGTAGCTAAGCTGGTGTAAAGCCAGAAGCCAGGAGCTAGATCAGAAGTGAATCAGCTGTGACATGAACCAATGGTGCACTAGGATACCATAGCAGGGTAACCTGAGGCTTACCCTGTTATGCCATAGTGGTGTATTTGCTGCTCATCCTCATAGTTCAAAAACTTTAGGAACAGGTTGGTATCCATTGGCAAGAAACTTGCTGTGGAAAGCTATGATGCATTAAATCAGTGTGAATGTGAGCAGTAATTATGACAACTGATATTTAAACTCCAATGGCCATGGCCACATACCAATATGTTGACAGGAAATTCTAATACTCCTTGCATATACCTCTAAAATTACACAATGAGACAAGTGCCAAAAGTGACCCACAGTTTGCCAGATGTCACAAATGAATAACTCCCTGATCTAAACAAAAGATCCATCCTCCAAAGCTGGGTGATTGGCATTACAATTGCAACATGAATCAGCTGATATTTGTGAGTCCCACATTAATCCTGTGGTTTAAACTGTAAAAATAGCTTTGCTGGATAACTGTATAATTTAAAACATGTGTTTTACAAAGAATATTTATTTTTAGGATTAAAATTAGAAAGCAGAACATATTTACAACAAAATGAGATCAAGAGGATTCCATCAAATATTTTAGAAACACACACCCTTGTTCTAAAATGACACTCCTCATGTTTGACTTGACATTTGTTGACACTTTCAAAGATTTTCTACATTCTACTGCAACTTAAAATATCTCCTATCCGTGATCTTACTAATGCTTGTATTGGACTTTATACGATTTGACTATGACAGTAGGTTTATAGTAGCTAGTTTTTCTGTTTTGAGCTTCATAGGATATGCAGAAGATTGATGTCAGAAAACTGATTGTTTTTAGTTAATGCACCATTTTTGTTTCTTGCTGGATACACTACTGAATTGTAAAGGCATGTCAGTATTTGCTTTCTATTGCAATCAACGTTTTTCGTATAAATTTTCAACACGTTTTCAGGCATTAGGATTTGCTTATGCAATAACTTTCTGCTAGCAAAAAGATTTTGCATATTCATAATACTGAAAAAGTTTCTCTCTTGTGTGAACTCTATGATGATTGATTATGTCTGATTCATGGCAAAATGCTTTCCCACATTCAAGACATTCATAAGGTTTTTTCCCTGTGTGGATTTTCTGATGTATGTTTAAGGATGACTTCTGACAAAAAGCTTTTCCACAATCATTACATTTATAAGGTTTTTCTCCTGTGTGGATTCTCTGATGTGTGATTAGGTATGACTTTCGACAGAAAGCTTTTCCACACTCACTACATTTATACGGTTTTTCCCCGGTGTGGCTCCTCTGATGTCTAATGAGAACTGACTGTGCGCAATAAACTTTTCCACATTCATTACATTTATACGATTTTTCCCCTGAGTGAATTTTTTGATGTCTAATGAGACCTGACTGCTGGCTAAAGGCTTTTCCACACTCATTACATTCATAAGCTTTTTCCCCTGTGTGGGTTCTCTGATGTACATTTAGGGATGTCTTATAACAAAAAGCTTTTCCACACTCACTACACTTATAAGGTTTTTCTCCTGTGTGAATTCTCTGATGTACAATGAGACCAGGCTGCCGACAAAAGGCTTTGCCACACTCATGGCATTCATAAGTTTTTTCCCCGGTGTGGATTCTCTGATGTATGACTAAATGTGACCTCCAACAAAAACCTTTTCCACACTCACTGCATGTATAAGGTTTTTCTCCTGTGTGGGTTCTCTGATGTATGATTAGAGATGACTTGTGACAAAAAGCTTTCCCACATTCGCTACAATTATAAGGTTTTTCCCCTGTGTGAATTCTCTGATGTTTAATGAGTCCTGAATTCTGGTAAAACTCTTTTCCACACTCATTACATTCATAACCTTTTTCCCCTGTGTGGATTTTCTGGTGTATAATTAAGTGTGACTTTTGACAAAAGGCTTTCCCACACTCACAACATGTATAAGGTTTTTCCCCTGTGTGGATCCTGTGATGTGTGATTAGGTGTGACTTTGTGCAAAACGCTTTTCCACAGTCACTACATTTGTACGGTTTTTTCCCTGTGTGAATTCTCTGATGTACAATGAGACCTGACTGCTGGCAAAAGGCTTTTCCACACTCACTGCATTCATAAGCTTTTTCCCCTGTGTGGATACTTTGATGCGCATTTAGAGATGGTTTGTAACAAAAAGCTTTTCCACACTCACTACACTTATAAGGTTTTTCTCCTGTGTGAATTCTCTGGTGTACAATGAGACCTGACTGCTGGCTAAAAGCTTTCCCACACTCACTACACTTATAAGGTTTTTCTCCTGTGTGAATTCTCTGATGTATGATTAGGGATGACTTTTGACAAAAAGATTTCCCACATTCATTACAATCAAAAGGTTTTTCTCCTGTGTGGATTCTCTGATGTTTAATGAGAATTGATGTCTTGGAAAAGGTTTTTCCACATTCATTACATTTATAAGGTTTTCCCCCTGAGTAAATTCTCTGATGTCTAATGAGATCTGATTCAGTGCAAAAGGATTTCACAAGTTCATTACATTCATATGATTTATCCTCAGTGGGAAGTATCTTATCTTTAGCGAATTCCGTCCTCTGGTTAATGTTTTTTTTACATTCATTGCATACACAGAAATTTTCTATCTCACTTCTCTGTTTGGTGGTAAAGCAAGAGGTACAGCTAAAAGACTCTTTGCAGTAGAGACATATATAGTGACTTTTCGCTGTTTGGATTATCTGATTTATTTTAAGATCTCTTTTAAAAATAGGACATTTCTCACTCTTGAAATGTTCATGGAGTTTCTTTCCTGAGTGTGTTTGTTGATGCTTGCCAAAATAAGGATTGCTAAGGAACATTTTCTTATTAACCTGAATTGTTTCTCCTACAATGATAGGGTCATTACATGGGTCTTTGATATAAATTTTCTCACACTTAAGGAACGTCTTCCTCTTGAAAGTTTTTTCTTTTCCATTGTGTTCAAAACACTGCTTGCAAGTGTATGCCTTGTCATGCTGACTGAGATTTTCCCCACATCGGAGTTTGTTCTCGGGTGCATTTGAGGCGTGATTTTTCCCAAGGGACATTTCATCAGGCTTCCTAGGAAAAATAACACATTTTGAAATAAAATATGGTGTGTTCCTCTCCTGTTTCAAGAGCCACCCCATCTTTGAGATCGTGCCTGGGACACACTTTCGACCTCCTCTCTTCTTTCTAAGTTGACATGGTCACATAGGAAGCAAAACTTCTGTAAGCAACAGAGTCCGAGTTTCTGTTCCTATAGTAAGCTGAGGAAAGAGCTATGAGATTTCCTGGTAACATTTTCTCTGGTGCCCAACACAGAGCATCAAAAAAGCTTCTTACACCAGAGTCATGTGGCTTGACTCAGCACAGAGAAGAATTCACAGTGTTGCTATGCTTTCCCTCAAGTGGGACTGAACTGTGAAAATACCGCATGGCTTGGCATAAACATGGACCCCTCAACCCCATCTGCTGGCCATCATCTAGCTCTGGATGAAACTGTAGATGTTTTTTTTTTTTTTAAGGGGGGTGAAGATAGGAAACATGGCTGTTTAGTACTTAAGAGTCTCTAATTCCTTGAATCTGGCGTGATAGTGTAGTGGTTAAGCTCCTCGCCTTGCATACACCAGAATCCCATATGGGTGCCGGTTCTAATCCTGGCTGCCCCACTTCCCATTCAGCTCCCTACTTATGCCCTGGGAAAGCAGTCGAGGACAGCCCAAAGCCTTGGGATCCTGCACCCATATGGGAGACCCGGAAGAGCTCCTGGTTCCTGGCTTCGGATTGGCTCAGCTCCAACTGTAGCGGCCACTTGGAAAGTGAACCATTGAACTTAAGATTTTCCTCTATGTCTCTCCTTTTCTCTGCATATCTGGCTTTCCAATAAAAATAAATAAATCTAAAAAAAAAAAAGTCTCTAATACCCCAAATATCTATTTGCTCTTTTCCTGTCACCTCAAATTCCCCTCTGTGAGTAAGGCTCTGGATGTGTTTTGAAAAAAATCTGGTGCAGGACTGACAGCCCTTGTCAGAGGCTACTTTTCAGAATGATTTGAAACTCCCGAGGGGGATTCTGAATGCTGCCCAACTGGCATGGGACCCAAGTGCCAAACTCCTTTCTCTTGTTTCATGTTGGTTTATCCTTAGTGAAGGAGGGGTAAGACTCATGGCATCCCCACAGATATTCTGCTTGGGTTTGATCATTTGAAATGACTTATATTGATCTCTGATGACCACCTCTACACTCCTGAGATGAAGTTAGAGAAGACCAGTTCCTTTATTTTGTCTCCTGTCTCAATTCTATCACCCATGTGGCTTCCCACATCTGAGACCTGAACAACCATAGAACAGGAGGGGAACTAACTACACAGTAGGAGCTATTTTCTGATTGAGAGATATCCAATGGTAAATGTCTTCCTACAGGTTCCTGCTCAGAAAAGGAAGCAGCATGGAACACTTAAAAACCCAAGACCCTTCATTGGGCATCTCGGTCTCTCCATTCAACAGGTACCCCATCTTCTGCTCTTTCCCACATGGTCCTTTTCTATCCCCTCTGCTTTCTACATTCACTTGGTAACTCTGCAAAAAAAAAAAAAAAACACTTCTCTGTCTGCAAATTAAACAATAAATTAGATTTCAAGTTTTTTTTTTTTTTAAAGAATTTCCATTTCATATCATGTTTCAATTATGGCCAGAGCTTAAAATAATCTTTGACAATGCAACTCTTTTTGAAGTTATACACCATTTGTGATTACAACTTGCCTGAAAGTGGTTTCCTGATTTTCCTGATTAGTTCCAAGCAGCTCATTCTTTCTGTAAGGATCTGAAATGAGGAAAAGGAGTAATCATATCTGTGAATCACATCTAAGTATTTATTTTCAAATGCTCAAGTGAGACAATGATGTTTCTTGCCATTCTAGATATAGCAGACTTCAACATTAGGCCAATGCACATATTTATGATCATTACACTTTTTAAATTAATATATTAATATAATAAATAGAGTTTCTTTTTCCATTTTCAATTACTTGGAATTTTGTATTTTAAGTTGATGGGGGTAGGAAAGAAAATATGGTACAGAAATTCAAACTAATATTTGGGATGTATTACATCACATAACAGTTCCAGTTTGTCTTGTCTGCTGGGATCATGTCAAAGATCAATATTAAGTTCTACATTTTTGGTTTTAGCTTGACAAATTTTAACATTTGAAGGCATTGTCAGAATAGATATGTACATGGAGACTGTAGAGTGCCTTTGTCTCATGTATGACATAAGCTTATTTTTGAAAATAAACATTAAAAAATAATAAGCACAAATTACAGTGAATATTTACTGAGCTATGTATCAACCTCTCTGCTCAGTATGTACTGACGTACCTGGAAGCTGCTGGTTTACAGATTTTGCCATTGTCCATGGTACTGATTCTTGTTCCAACTTGAAGATCACATCAGGTTTTGTTATGTAGTACCCTGTTAGTTGGAAATAATAGAGACTTTGTAAAATTACTATCTTGGAGCTTAAAGAAGAAAAGATTGGAACCAGAATCTATGTCACAAAATGGCTAATATGAATCATTATCTGAAGAGTAGATATTAAGATGTATTATAGTCTTAAATACTAATCCTATTTGGTACTAAACTTTATAAACTCTTCTTTAATTTGTCAAGCATACAGAAAGTATTCTGCACGGGTATGACAGAATTTCACTCACCCACGGACAGCAGATTGCTATAGGTCTCAAGCATGACATCCCTATACAGGGTCCTCTGAGATTTGTCCATGTTCTGCCATTCCTCCTGAGTAATGTCCACAGCCACATCTTCAAATGACACCAACACCTGCAACAGCACATGTCTCCTCAGTTCTGCACCACGAAATAGAAAGACCAACAGTACATTCTTCTACGTATGTTTGATTTGAAACATCTATGGATGCAGCTTAATTTATAATCTATATGGCATTATAGAGTAAAACCAAAATAAAAATATTCATTCTGCATTACTTTTGCAATTTCAAAACTACAATAGGGTATCCCTTATTATTCTGTAGCAGATTCTTTTCTCTAATGACTCTGATTCTGAAGAAATGTTGCAGGCATTGTTAGAATAAACTGGTAAGTAGAAGATACCACTCTGTTTATCCTTCTGCTATTGCCACTCTGCTTTTCAATTAAATTAAGATAAATAAGCCTTTTAACATTGAGCAAAATATTAACTCAGTGCCTGTAATAGTGAGTGTTTTCCAACTGGCATGTTCCCCCATATTCTTTCAGTAGAATTTCTTCTTATTAGAGTGCAACATTGGGGGCTTCTCTGCTGATTTCTCAGTTTTGAAAGGGAAAGTTGTCTGGATCACTCACGGTATAAGATTAGGAAGTGAGTCTGTTCTCTGTTGAAAATCATACGTTAAGAACAGAATCTGATCCATGGATGTCTTATGTTCAGTCTTCTGAAGGATATGACTAAAACTTCAGCTCAAGATAACTAAATAGAAAGATGACAAGGCATTGTTCTTTGAATATTTAATTTACATATTCTAAGGACACAGATTAATTTATAATCTATTTAGCAACATAGGGTAAAAACAAAATAAAAACATCTTGTCCTACATTGTATTTGCAATTCTGAAGTTACAATGGAATTCCTTCATAATTCTGTTAGATTATTTTCTGTAATAATTATAAAATGAGTTCACTGTGTAATCTGTAGATATAAATATGAACATTGAGCTAAATAACATGCTAGATTAGATAACAAAGACATGTTTAATACTAGATAGGACAGTGAGAAAAATTTTGAATAATTTATGATATGTTTCTCAAACAAGCTATTTAAAAAATCTTATAAAGTGACATTAATAAAATTAAATTTTATTATTTCAGCTTGAAAACTGAAGTATTGGAAAAAAATTTTTTTAATTAAACTTGCACAAATGAGTGAATAGTTCCTACACCTTACTCTGGATGTATATACATATGTGATTTTTTTTTTAACTTTGGAGAATGTATATATTAAAATCTTTTCTGCTTTCTATTTGTCTTACTTTTTATGAAAAAACATTTCAATTAAGCTAAAATTTTAATTACAGTGAACTTCAAACTTAGTAGGGAAACAAATTACAACTTACAAGTCTCAGCCAGTGATAGGCTGTCAATTGTACAGAAAATATACATACAAGGCAAATGCCATGCTGTTACGAATCAACTTGCCTCTGTGCTTTGGAAGCCCCTTACAATTAACCAGCTATCTCTTTTGTTTTCTAGCTATTTATTTGTTTATTTTAATATCATGCTTCACCATTTGTTTGAGAAGATTGCATTTGCACCAATACTGATAAACACAGGTGTTTTGTTCCTTTTGTTTTTGTTGCTTTTGATTTTTCAAGTTAATCTATGTAATAGAATATTTGATATTTATATATCTGTGATTAGCATATTTTACTTAACCCTTTACCCTCTAGTTACACTAATTTTCACATAATCCACAAAATTTTGTCTTCATGGCTGAATAATAGTCTATTGTACATATGCACATTTCCTTTATTCCTTCCTCTAATGATGGACACCTCAGATCATTCCACATATATTCTGTATTATAGACACTGCTACAATAAACAAGATGGCTACAGATATCTCTTTTATACAATATGTTCATGCTTTTAGAGCATACAACTAATAGATGGCTCAATCATACAGCATAACCATTTCAGAAATTTTATACAGTGACTAATTTATAACCCCATCAACATTGTATAAAAGTTCTCATTCTCCAACATATTCACAAACATTTATTACCCTTTCTTCCAAGTAATAATAATCATTTGGACAGGGTTGGGGTGATATTTCACTGTGATTTTGATTTACATTTTCCTAATGGCAACTTTTTAAGAATGACCCACTGAGATCTCTAGCTCACTCATTCTCTTTCATCTTTTCTCTGCAACTCTGCATTTTAAATAAAAACCAAAGCATATGCAGCAGGAGTCAGCCTTTTGCTCTAGCAGATAAAGAAACTGACATACCACATGGGCATTGGTTCATTTGCTGGGTGCTCCACTTCTGACCAACTCCCTGATAACAGGCTTAGAAAGGAAGTGGAGGATGGCTCAAACACTTGGTTCCTGTAAGCATGTTGGAGACCTGGACAAAACTCCTGGCCCATGATTTAAGACTTGCTCATCTCTGGATAATCTGGTTATTTGAGGAGTGAACCAGCAGATGGGAGATCTCTCTCCACCTCTCTCTCTTTCTTAGTAGCTCTGCTTTTCAAAGCAATAAATCTGAATGATAGAAAGACAGACAGAAACACAGAAAAAGAAAGAAAGAAAGAAAGAAAGAAAGAAAGAAAGAAAGAAAGGAAGGAAGGAAGGAAGGAAGGAAGGAAGGAAGGAAGGAAGGAAGGAAGGAAGGAAGGAAGGAAGAAAGAAAGAAAGAAAGAAAGAAAGAAAGAAAGAAAGAAAGAAAGAAAGAAAGAAAGAAAGAAAGAAAGAAAGAAAGAAAGAAAGAAAGACAGACCTTGCAAAAGGAAATGGCATTATGGCATATCAGGTTAAACTACCACCTTCCCCATTTCCAATCTAGCTTTAAGCTAGATTTTGCAGAGGAACCAGTAGAAGAGGGCTCAAGCATTGGGGTGAAAGATTCATCTAGCAGACACAGTTGGACCTCCTGGTTCTTCTCTTTGACACAATCCAGCCCTGATTATTGTGATCATTTGGAAAATGAAATAGCAGATAGCAGACATGTTTTAAATCAGTTTTTAAAATAAATAAAAACCTGTAAATTTTACTAGGCACCATACCATTTCAGAAATTCAAAAAAAGCAAAATTGAAAACTTGATAACTATTTTTATATTTGGAAACTCTTACTACTTCCAAAGGTTGAGTGGTTATTTTCAGGTTGGTACTGAATGATTTTCATTATATCATCTGTAAGATCAATAAACACCATTTCAAACTTGATATTTCACAAAAATTAACAAATTCTTAGTTTCAATTTGAATCATGTAATAAATTTGTCTTAGTTATATCACCAGAAAACTTAGAGGGAAAGTTTGAATCAGATTTAAGTGTTCCAATGTCAAGTTATGCCAATCTTACCTTCTTTCTTGCATATTTATTTCTTTGTTTCAGTTTCAGAAAACCATCATAAAGCTCCTACAACACAATGTAACACAAGCTGAGAAATAAACATATAACTTACTGAAAGTGTGGTTGTGTTCTCTAGACTTGGAAGCATGTAGTGGGTTTTAGAGATACACCTGGAAGAAAAGGTGGATAGAGGGAGTTATGAATTGGTTTTGCTTTCCCATGTTTCCTTATTATTTCCTATTGAGTCAGTAATGTGCAGACAGGAACCAGACACAAAGGCTACAGAAGCAAAGACAATCAACTTCCCTGGGCAAGAATAGTGCATTACAGATGACAAGTGTCACAAACGCTTCCTAGAAACAGCATAAACACGTTCAATAATTGGCAGTGATTAAACTCAAGTTATTATTAGGGTTAAAGCAAACATGCTATACTTAAAAATAAAAAATATTACTGCTAAGCACTAACTTATTTTTTTCAACAACTATTGTTCAAATTACAACATACCATAAAAAAATATTGTCACTAAAATTTATGCTACTCAAAAATAATTTGCGGTATTAAGTATTTATCTATTTCTACAGATGAGCTGCACAGGACTGCATATAAGGACTTCCATTAGAACATTTATTGCTGTTAGTACTAAAAACTCTGCTGAAGGCAGACATTTTTCAATTAGAGTAATTTTATCTGCACTTATATAGGAAAAATTGATATAATACATATTTATTCTATACAGCTTTCTAGTAACTGCTCCAACTGAAGCTTCCTAAGACTTCAATGATATTTCAAAGTTCTTAAATCTTCAGTGACACTTTGCCATTTTATTTGCCTTAGCCCACAGGACATCCATAAATATGACATCAACATAATTTGGAATGTATTTTTACTTTACCTCAGTCAATATTTATATTATAGCAACAGCCAGAGAAAACAATCAGACTTAGAGGATTGAATGTCATGATACAGGAGGTTGGGCTGCTGCTTGGGATGAATCACATCTGATACCCAACTGCCTTGTTTATGCCGACTAGCTATTCAACACTTTCAATACAGTGTCCTGCTTTGTGCCTGGAACACAGTGGGTGGGATACTAAATGTAGTATTGGCATATCTAAATGGATTTCTGTTGCTGGACTAAGCATTGCATAACCCTCAACCATCTGATGGACTATTTCTCTCCTCTCTGCAATCAACCTTTGAAATAAATATTGTATTAATAAAAGTGTTTAAAAAGAAATATACTGCATCTAAAACTACACATTTTATGTTGATTTGCAGATATATCTTGTGAAGAATAAGGAATTAAATTTCAAGTTCAATTAAACAGAACTTCACAAAGACATTTGTATAACTTAAGGAGTTTATCATAAGTAGTAAAATGGTTTATATATTTTTAAACACTTGAAAATGGGACTGGTGTGGTAGTCTAGTGGCTAAAGTCCTCACCTTAACATGCTCTGGGATCCCATACTGCAGCTGGTTTGTCTATTGTCCAGTTAGTTCCTGTCTCATCCAGTTTCCTGCTTGTGGCCTCAGAAAGTACTTGAGGATGGCCTAAAACCTCAGGACCCTGTACCTACATGGGGGAATCAGAAGAAACTCCTGTATCCTGCCTTTAAATGGGTTCAGCTCCTACCACTGAGGCCACTTGGGGAGTGAACTAATGGATGGAAGATCTTCCCTGTGTCTCTCCTTTTCTCTTTATATCTGACTTTTGAATAAAATTAAATTTTTAAATTCTTGAAACCTGATTCATGCTAAAATCTGAAGCACATTTGCCTTTCGGTAGTGGATAACATACTAAGAAAAACTGCATTCTAAATCTATTGTATTCACACAATCCAAAATATTGAGAAAAAGGATTTGCAGATCAGAGACCAAGAGAAAGGTCTGGATCCCTGCTCATTCACTCTTCAAGTGGCTGCAATGGCTGGAGCTGAGCCGATCTGAAGCCAGTAGCCAGGAGCTTCTTTCTGGTCTCTCACACAGTTGCATGTTCCCAAGGCTTTGGCCATTCACTACTCCTTTCCCAGTCCACAAACAGGGAGCTGGATGGGAAGAGGAGCATTTGGAACATTAATTGGTATCCACATGTGATTCAGGTGCATCCAAGGGTTTAGCCACTAGGCTATAGCACCAAGCCCACTAGAACTCCACTGGCAGATCTGAGAACCTGCATGCAGGAGGAGCTGGCGCTGTCCACAACCAACTGTAAAAGGGAGAGTTTTTCTTAGAAGGATTGTAGTAGGCTTCGCACATGATCTTAATCCGCCCTGTATGTGCTGGCAGGCTTCTTCTCCTTCAGGCACCTGGTGAGTGCCAGGAGAACAAAGTCTGGATGTTTTTAGAAATAGATAAGACACCCGGGTCCTTCGCCTGGACCCAGGAGAGGTCACACCAAACGCTGAGGTATGTAAACTTTGGGCATTAAGCCACCTATGTCCGAATTAGCCTAAAAACCCCTCAACTATGCAGTAGGAGAGGTCTCTCCTCTCTCCCAGGAGGCTAGAATGACTGAAACAACCCCGTGATGTCCAAGGGGATGATGTGCTGAGTTTCCCCCTTCATTCCAGTGATGTATAGAATGCCTAGGAATCTTTGCTCTTGATTCTTTACAATTTTCCTGTTATGCAGAGGGGATGATGTACTGAGTTCTCCCCTTCACTCCGGTGATGTATGGTATGCTTGACAATCTTTGCTCTGGCTTCTTTACATTTACTATTTGCCATTCTTTTGTGCTTAATGTTTAATAAACATTTAAGTTTATAAGTATTGGAATGGCTCGTTGACATTTCTCCTCTAACGAAGCTGACCCTCAAAATATTAAAGACCGTGCATGGCTCCAGCCTAAATTATATTGCTGGGACAACAACTCAGATCCAGCACCAACCAACAGAAGCTGGAAATGTGGGCAGGCTGGACTGACCCAGGCTGAAGCACCCACTGGTTGATGATGAGGTGAGGCAAACCATGCCAGTCTGGGGTGGAAAGGCAGTGACTGTGAGGCTTGGGAGTGGTGATCTGACAGGGTCCTTGGGCCCATCTGTGTTTGGATGCTGGGTTTGTGAGCCCCGGAAAATGGGGTTTCGGTGGGACCAGCATCACATGACCAGGGTCCTTGGGCTCACCTGTGTGGTGGGTACCTGGTCCAGTGATATTCAAGTAACCTGGTTGAGGTGCTTGAGCCTTACTACTCAGTGGGTCCTGGGTCCTTGAAAATCAGGGACAGGAGGTTAGTGGGTCCAGGCAGTCTACCCCAGCCCTTCCTTAAGCCCACATGCAGGTGGATGCTGCGTTCATGAGTCCTGGGGAGGGGAGGTCTGGTGAGATCTAGATCATCTTGGACCCACCTGCATGGTGAGTGCCAGGGTTGTGAGCTCTAGGGGGAGGGGGTCCAGTGGTGTCAGGGTTGAATAGCCCAGCTCCTTGGGCCTTCCAGCAAAATGGGTGTAGGGACAGGCAGAGGCCAGGTCATGTGTTCTAGGTCCTTGAATTTACTTGTACACTGGGTACCAGGTCTTGGGCCTCAGGGGCAGAGATCCCAGTGGGGCTCAGATCACAGGACTCGGCTCCTGGGGCCCGCCTGCATGGTGGATGCTGCTCATGTGAGCCTCCTGGGGTATGAGCCTACATGCCACATCTCCTGGCCTGGATCCTTGAAACTGACTCATACATTCTGTTTTTAGAAATAAGTAAACTTTATTGGCCTATTTCAGTAGCCTAGTGACTAAAATCCTCATCTTGCACATGCCGGGATCAAATATGGGTGCTAGTTTGTGTCCTGGCAGCCCTGCTTCCCACCTGGCTCCTTGCTTGCAGCCTGGAAAAGCAGTAGAGAATGGCCCAGGACCTTGGGAACCTACACCTGTGTGGGAGACCCAAAGAAGCTCCTGGATCCTGGCTTCAGATCAGTTCAACTCTGGCCACTGCAGCCAGTTGGAGAGTAATCAGTGGATCATAGACCTTCCTCTCTGTCTTTCCTCCTCTCTGTATATCTGAATTTCCAATAAAAATAAATTAAATGATAAATAAATCTTATTTTTGATGATGTTTATATACTTGAGAGGGATGTATGCCCATGAGGACAACCAATTAGAGTGGGGAGGTTGAGGAAGGGAAGAAAGTAGATGAGACGGATCTTTGCATGACACTGGGTGGCCTTGCCCCATTCCTGGGTAGCTATTAATGGATTGCCACAATAGCTGATGTTCAGTATACTCAAACACTGGAGGCTATAAATGAACTCATTATAAATGAACACAGAACTCCATCTACTGTGCCAGTTTATCTGGCATGCTCTGTATTCTTTCTTGTGTTTCAGAAACCTATACTAATAAGTCTCGTCTGTCTCCTTCTGTATCCAGCCCTATGTGCCTCTGGCTATGCCTGCTTTTATGTATCTCAGATCTTGCTCATGGCACTGTATGTTATCTACAGTTTGAACACCTCACATGACTGGGACCCATGTCCATCCTTGCATTTACCCATTTTAAAAATCTCATTTAAACCAGATCATTAAAGTCAATAGTTCTTGTGCCTACAGCATAAGCCAGCTGCTTGTAAAGCAACATTATTCACTCTGTTCAATAAGCAATATTTTTAGATATTCTACAGCTTTGGAAAAATCTCTACCTGTTCATTACTTTACTGTAAGGACTGGCTGGAATAGTGGCCACTAAGACAGACGTGCCACCTTAAATACCTGCCTCTCCTAAGTCTTGAACACCTTAGGGCCTCACAAGTGTAAGCTCCATGCCCTTTAGGTTTAAACTGCATTCTCTGCCAATCCTCTGTATTTATGACATGGTACCCGACAGCTCTATTCACCAATGCCCTGTGGTGCTTATCCCCATTGTCCACTTACATCTCCATCTGCCAAGCCTGCGTCCCTGCACTCCCAATACTCACGTCTATACTATAAAGTTACCTTTCCTTTATTCTGCTCTCACTCACTGCTTTCTTGGTCTGTCCCTCATTACACTCCCATTCCCTATCTCTTATCTTTGTCTCTTTCCCACCTATCATGCACTCACTCGGGTAGGAGATAAGATAAAAATAATTAAAAAATTAATATTTACACATTCGTTCAGTAACTTGCTATAACAGAGACCTCCAAAAGCAATGAATATTCAACTAAAGATTTTTAGAGTTTAAATTTTATTTTTAG